ATGCAATCTGTAACGAGCAATCAAGTGGGTAGAATTTGACATTTAATTAAGGAAACTTCCAGTACTCGCCAGCTTTAAGCATACCATTTTCTTTTTTTCTTTAGGGAGTACTTTGTTGTCTACCTATTTTGACAGAACAGTGCGTGAGACTTTGCAGTAACCAGACAACTGCGTTCTTTTAAAAAGTGAAACGCTTTGCCTGATGTAACTAGCTTCCTTTTATGAATTTTTATCGATGAGGTGTCGGTTGAATTCATTTTCTTGTGGATGGTAGAGACACCAGTTGCATGACATACTTGCTTGAAAAAATTGTCACTTAGAAATAAAGCGAGTGGAGTGCCGAAAACTCAAGGGTTCAGTTCCTGTTACCACAATACAAAGTAAATTGACGGGGACACTTCCAGACAGCCGTTTGCAATATTCGTTCCATCCACCTGCTTCCATCACAGATGCAACTGATAGTGCGCTTTTAAGAAGTACTGTCTCATGACATTTTTGCGTTGCTTTGCTACCGATGAACTGACGTTTAAGAAATGGTAATGCTTTATTTGTCAAATATAACCTACCGTGCTTTTTACTCTGATTAAGATCCATCAGATGCACATTGCATGCTTGGTCGCGTGCAGCGCTTCACCCTTTTATGACCGACCAACCATACTTCCGCTCAGACGGGCATGACTTGGTGCTTTCTTATTTTAGTTTGTGCGATGAACTTGTCAAGAATTTGCATTTTTTCATTTCCTTTTTGGCTGATTCTTATATTTTATAGGCTCTTCAAAGCAAATTTTGTCATATTTTACCCCTTTGCATATTTAAGAGTTAAAAAATCAAACTTGCCGAGGACTGTTACTGACGAACTTGACATTTCGGGCCCCGCTTGGGCAAAACACATAGCGATCCCTGGGATTCCCCTTTTTGACATTGAAGAATGTGTGAAAAGCAATAAAACAGCTTTGTTGATTCAGTAAGACTCACCCGAAGAAATCAAAATTTCTTGGTTATTTTCATCAACTTGCAAGGCGGCAGGTTTTGTTACGTTCCCCAAAAACCCAAAACCAACAAAAAATAACTTGGCATCACAGTTATTGGCAGAGACCACTACCAGATGGAATTGCATGTAGCCGACGTTCACACCATCAACAATAGCGAACAAGATCGACGAGCCTGCAGGAAGCAAGAAAGCTTGCTGGATGCATACAATTTCATCAAAACCAGTGTTTGGAAATATACTTTCAAAAATGCTTGCAATACTATATTCAGCAGCGAGTTGCCTGCTTAAATCTGAAACAGCCGGAAATAGAAGATCAGTTCAGACCGAAAAAACCCAGTGTGTTTCCAGTTTGTGATTCAGAATGTTCATTGACTAGTAGTTAGGTAAGTAAAGCCCAAAAGGCAAAATAAATTCATCATAAGGATATTCCTCACGTAATTTCAACGTGTCGATGACAGTCATGAAACCGATTTAAACGGTGTGTGTCAAGTCAATAGAAACTAGTTCAGTCGACAAGAATTCTATGTTTCTTGTATGTAGCCATTCGTGTTACAACGATTTCTTGCTTAAACGAGCTAATCATCCCGTATGCCCATCGGCGGGCCGTTTGCCCACGCAGTATACAATGGTTACTCAGATGGTTTCAATGTACGCACTGGACAAAATGGCCGTGACAACACAGGATCTTTTGAGCAGTAAGCTTCCAGCTTTCATTTAAGATCATGGCTAAAGGCCTAAATTCCAGAATAGCGTAATATTTCCTCTTTGTATTATCCTCTTCAATCCCCATGGGCTGACTTCGGTTCCCAAAAGACTAAATTTTTTACGTCATGAATGATAAGCCTTTCAATACAACTTACTGACTTTCTAGTAAACATAGATAGATATTTATGTGACTTCAGTAGTCAAGGTCGCGGTATTCTATGGTCATTACTTGAGGTTAGCATAACAAGTCTACAGTATGGTCGAATGTTGGCTACGGGTTTCACAATGAGTAACGGTAATCTGTATGGCGGGGTTATTATGAATGGTGTGACACTGTGCTTCATTCTGGACTCCAGACGACACGCGCATGCACTGACTATGAAATAATCTTAGGTTCAGGCCTGAATGCTAGTATTTTACTTTCGTGTATTTTGTAAAGTTTCGCAAATATTAATGGCAATGTGGTTTTATTGAAGTCCCTGTCGCCTGCATCTGTGGGATAGCGTGAATCACCTGTTTATTGTGGCCTAACTGGAAGCTTTTAGCGATTGCTCGCAACTGAAGATAGAGGTATACGAGCCGGTTGACTGTTCTGAAGAACGACTCCTGCTTGTTCGCTGTTTTACTGATTTTATGAAGTGCTCATAATTCGGTTGATGTAAATGTTATTTGGTTCTTTTTATAAATGTGTCGGATCAGCTGTAGCTTTACATCTAAAAAATAGTTCGTTCGTCTAAGGGTTGGCTGGGGAAAAGTTAGAGATAAGTTTTATCTCGACTGCTTGGTTTGCGCAATCCAACACCATATGTTAGATTTGGCCAAGGCATCAAGACACGCTTTTTGTTGAAATTTTGTTTTATTCTGTCGCCCGGGGGCTCAAAGAGAATCTTGCGCCAGAAACTCTGATGAAGATATTGCAGTTTCCAGAACACGCAATTTGGAGCTGTAATTCATCGAATTCATAACGTTTCGGAGTAGCTTATTTTTCTGCCCTATTTTTATTCTAATTCCTTGAACATCGTAATTTTTGTGACGTCGTTAATCGGCGTGTAGAAGACAGGAACAGTAAACTATTAGCCAGGAGCGTAAACATACCTTGGACAATAGATGAAACAGATATTTAAAACAAATTTCTGCTTTTTGATTCGCTATCAATTTTAGGCTGGGCAAACACTGTCTCTACTGAAAAAAATACGGTTTCTGCTTGACAGGTAGTCCATGTTAGCTAGAAAATGAGCGTGGCAATATAATATTTCCGCGGCTTTTCTTCGGTCGTGTGTATTTTGAAAGCTGCAAAACGAGCAAATTTTTGAAGTTAATTACAGTTCCGTGCTATTCTGACAGTAAAATCGTTAATGTTCTTGTACATAAACATATATACTCTCAAGTGATATAATATTGTGAAAGTTTATGTATATTAACAATAATTTTGTCTACTGCTGTCGTACACTTGCCTCGGGAATCTTGCTGAGACAGTGTTTGGTCTCTATAGGAATAGTAGCCTTGAACCTTTTGTTCATGAATACCTTTATATATAACGTTTATTTTTGTGGTTCATCTTTAGTAGCTTATCCACACATTAACTCTTTTTGACAAACAAAGGAATATTATTGGCAGGCACAAAGGCGCAAATTGAGGTGCATCAACAAATCCCTAAACTACTGGATAGACTTCAAATCACTGTCTATTACTGGTTTGGTTACCCTCTGGAGACCGTGCGTGGAGTTGAAAAAAATTGGTCTCCAGGGGTAACTAAAAACGCCTTGAGTCTTTCGACTCCCGGTATCAGCCTTCTGGCATTCGAGTTGTGTTTAGTAGGCTACAAAAACGCAAAGTCATAATCGGTATCCTGTTTTGCCCACAGCCAGTCAAGAATACGATAGATGTGATTTTAAAAAAAGTTGCCAGAAAAGTGTTTTTTTCTAATTATTTGCTTCATGAGAAGTAATTAGATACCAACTACCTTTATATCGTGTGGTGAAGCCCAGACGTATCCTTAGCACACTTCAATTTATTGAGATTAGGGCAAGTTTTATGTCTGAAAATCATAAACTCTAAATTAGCTTTTGTTTTTAACATTGCTTCCTCTGATCATTTGATGGATTAGTTAGACAGATTATTGGTTCGCCATTACTTTAGTCTCTTACATTAACTTTCCAAACAATATTCAATAGAAATCTTATTATTAACACAAAAGTAATTTTAAAATTAATTAAATGACATAGTTGGTCACCGAAATGGGGTCTTATACTCATTCATTGGTAGTCATAGAGCTTATAGTGTGACAGGCCGATCAACGTGTGTAGAGATATTTATACAGTAAAAATGGAAATAATAAACATTTTATGGTGATATTTGTTTATGGCGACCAGACTCAGGTGTCCTGGTCATGTTGTATCTTTCCAACAATATTTACCTCAAAACAGGAAATCGATTTTACCAGCCTAGATCAACAGCACGCCACTGATGACAAAACATTCTAAGGTTTGCTGTCGCTACGCACTAGAATAGGGATGAAAGACCTCAGATGGCCAGATTTTCCGAGAACCGGACATTTCGCTTAACTGAGACTTTCATCCCGTAAACTAAAAAACCTTCTTATATTAGGAGGTTACCCGATGTAGTGCGAAGACGTTTTGGTGTTCGATTGCCAAATGTGAGCTATCTTTAGCCTATGAAAAATCGTAAAGTCCATCCAAACAGATCTTGTTTTAACCAAACCAAAGACTTGCGAAATACACTCACTTGCAAATAATTTGGTCAACTGAATCTAAATGAGTCTACTTCATGATGTTCAACAACATAATATGTTGTGCACAGGCCACAAAAGATATCAGTTAGTATGACATTTGCCGCAATCTATAATATTTGCCCAACGACACATTATTCATGAGGAACTGCGCCTACCGGGTGAGCCGCAAACTAGACGAAACCGG